AGGTCCATTTAAGTTAACCCCAACCTTCTCACCTATAGCCTTACCCAGTATACGAGCTATCCACCCTGGGGGTGGACCCACACACCGGATGGAATCTTTAGGAGATAGAAGTGTTACCACTAACTTTATAAACTATCTAACCTAATCTAGATTCTGGCGGTTGTCATTTGGAGCGTATACCTTTCAGGGTTGATTAGGACACCTGGATAACCCGTTCAATACTTTTTGCCCAAGACCTCGGAGAAGGTATTATACTCGTTGTCACCACCTGCGGCTTCGGTTCGTGACCCAAGATAATATATTCAATATTTATTGTTTAATATACTTTATTATATTATAAAAAATCAAAAATCTTTATTATAAAAAATTTTTTATCAAAAAATCATAATTAGTTTACTTTGTTAATTAATTTATACTTCTAATTCAACTAATCAAATACTATCAAATATTAAAACAAGCTTATATAACTAATATACTTTACAATAATCAATATAAACAAAACCTATTCTAACAGTAATAATTAAAACAAGATTATATTATTAACAAATAAATTAATTACTTTTTTTTTTGGAAGGAGAGTTTTTCCTATAGGTAAACATCATTTCTTTATTTGGTTTGTATATAACATGATATATATTATAAAAGAAACAATATCTTTTACATACATAAAGTAGCAAGTTTAATGCTAACTTGCCTATGCATACACATCTAGTTAATATTGAAAAAGAAATTCAAAACAATACTATATACTAGCTGTGTCTGAATAGCAACTACGCCTAACTACTCAGAAAATTTTGTGAAGTTTTTTTGTAAATTTGTAAGTAAAGTAATTGAAGAAAAGAAAAAAATAAATGTAACTAAAACTAAAACTAAAACTAAGTGAAGTAGACTATAAAATCTATAAGTAGAAAACCAATTATTTCCTCAAGAGAGTCTCCAGACAGGCTTATGGTCCCATCTCTCTGGCTCTTTGGTTACCATAGATAATAGAGTATATATGACATTGTGTGATTGATGTTGTTATTGTGATTATTGTTGTGATACAAAACCAGTTTAAATAGGTTCAGTTTTTGTTTTGCTTTTTAGATGAAATCTGATTGGATAATTGAAGAGCACTGATTATTTGAAGGAGATAAACTAATTTTGGTTTTTTGTTTGAAAAATTTTTGAACTTTTGAAATAGCATAGCAAATATTACTGCAAAAATATTGTGTGTGAGAGTTGACTTGAAACAAACAGTAGACCTATTAACTCTGTTTAAGTATGTGTTTTGGAAAGTATTTTGTTTAGTGAGTATAATGGTGATAATATAGATGATTTTTATGATAAAATAATGGTAAGAAGGGGTACAAGAGAACAAAAGAAAAGAAAACTGCCACAGGCCTTTCTTTATGCAATTGAAGAATAAGCAAGACTCCCTAACTTGAGTAAACTTTGATCAGAGGTTCCATCTCACTGCACCAGTTGTTTTGAAGGTTCTTAAGTTCTTGAGCTGGGGTTTACTTGTGATAAAGAGTGTAAAACATTTTTTCTTGCTTAAAATTATTATAAAAGGAAAATTTTTAACAAAATGAATGTAATTAGGAGAAAGTTTTTTTTTTTTTTTTTTTTAAAGTAGATAAACATCATCATTTTATTTATCGTAAAATTGTTTGAAATTTATACATTGAGAAAGCAACATCTCTTATATAACTTGCTAAGCTAATAAGTCTAATGCTAGCTTGCCTACAGAAACTATCTAAGCAACATGGAAAATAAATATTAAAACTGATATACATCCTAAATAGTGCTGAACAGCTATAAATACCTACTTAGGTTTATATGTAAAACTATGAGAAATTGAAAATTGAAAAAAAAAAAATACTAAACAAAAATAAAAAAAAAATGCAAAAATGCTAATTGTGAAGCTATGAATGCCACTAGGCATGCCATGCTGGTAGTTCCATTTAACTGAAGTACTGTTGTACTTCCAGAAATAGCCAAGCTACTGTTCAAAGTGTACAATAGTGTAATAATATATCTTTTTGGTAGATTATTAGTTGTGGTGATAGTATTGTTGTTGTAATAATGTGAATTGTGATTGGTTTGTTTGTTGGTAGTGTGATTTTGTTTTGGTTGTTGTCATCATAAAAGGTTTTGTTTACGTCGATCAAAGTGTAGTGTTTTGGTTATACGGATTTGTTCAGAAAATTGATAGTGTTTGATTGGTTGAGTTTGGAATGTTGGTCAATTGACAAGAGTAAACTGATTGCGGTTTTTTGGTATGAAATTTTTTGAATGAGATTTTTTGGTTTTTGGTGGCGCAGCAAGATATGCTGGGTGATAGTGAGAAGTAAACATTAAATATATTGCTAGTGCTCCAAATTAACAATATAAACAATTTTGATGTGAAGTCTGGTTTTTTGAAATAAAAGGAAGTCCTTCAAGCAAGAAGTATGATTATTTAAAAAGATTTGTGTATTGAAAAGAAAAGAAAATGAGAAGAACTCCAAGGAAGATTTATAAAGAAGTAACTGCCATAGACCTTCCCTCATACAATCTAAAGAAAAAGCAAGATCCTTAAACTTGCTTTTCTCTGACCAGAGGTTTCATTCCGATGCACCAGTATACTTCTTTAAATTCTTTGAGGTTCTTGTAATGAAAAAAAAAGAAGTGCGAAGGACTTTTGGGTATTGAAAGGTGAAAAAAATATTTGTTTCTTTAATTTTTGAAGAAAAATTACTATAAAAAAAAATTTTTTAAAAAAAAAGTTGTGTACGGAAAAGAGTTTTTTTTTGGGAGAAAGTTTTTTTTTAGTGTCCAAATAAATTAATTACTATATTAATAAGAATATTAATAATCATAATTACAATATATAATTTAAGTAATATATTAATAATACTATTATTTATTTTGGATAGTAGTTTAATCATTTCTGAAAGTAATATTTTACTTTAGTTAAGTAAAATAATTAGTATAGTATATCTAATTCATAATATTATTTATATTATAATTAGTTTTTTTTATAATTTTTTTTAATTATTATTAAATATCCAAATTTAAATAACAATACTATTACTATTATTAATAATAATTTAAGAAACAGCTATTAAAAAAACATATCATTAATATTATTATATATCTTAAACTATAGTTTGATTATTTTAAAAAGTGTTACTATACTTCAAAAAAGTAAAATTACCAAAGTAATATTAGATATTATTTATATTATAATTAATTTTTGCTATTTTTTTTTTATTTAACATTTTATTTTTTCACTTTTATATTTTCTTAAATCTTATTTTATTTAATCTTGAATAAATATTTATAATTACTCAATACTATTTTTGATATATATTATATTAAATATTTATTTTTCTTTATTATTTAAATGATTTCTATAGGCAAGTTAATATTAGACTTATTGATTAATTGGTTATATAAGAGATGTTGTTATTTTTTTTATATAAAATATTTTAAAACTTTTATAATATAATAAAGTAATAATATTTTTTTTTAGGGGGATTTCCTCAATAGGTAAATATTATTTCTTTATTTTGATATTGTATATAACAAAAGATATATATTATTGAAAGAAATAACATCTCTTTTATTATTTCAGAAAAGTTAAATGCTAGCTTGCTTACTTATTAATATCTAACTAATATCATAAAAAATTCAAAATCAATATTAAAGTACTAGATAAGATTGAATAGCAGTTATACCTACTATTCTAAGAAATTTTATGAATTCTTTTGATTTTTTAGATATAAAAAATTAAGAAAAATAAAAGTAACTATAATTAAAACTAAATTAAATATATTATAAAATCTATGTATATAATGAAAGAACCTTCTGGTTGACTCATAGTTCCAACTTTCTATTCCGTATACTATATATAATAGAGTGCACATGACATTGTTTGTTATTATAGTTGTTGATAGTAAGTTAGTTGTTATTGTTGTTATGATAGTTGTTATAGTATAAAATCAGTTTGAGCTTATTTAATTTTTGTTTTGATTATAAAGTGAAACCTGATTGGATAATTAAGAAGTGCTAATTATCTAAAAAAAATAAACTGATTTTGGTTTTTTGAGTAAGAAATTTTTTAAAGTTAAAGATGATGCAGCAAATATTGTTATGAGAATATTGTGTATAAGGATTGACTTAAAACAAACAGTAGATTCACTAACTCTGTTTGAGTATATGTTTTGGAAAATATTTGATTTAGCAAGTATAATAGTAATGATGTAAATTATTTTTATAATAAAATAAGGATAAGAAGGGATAAAAGAGAATTAAAAAAAAGAGAACTGCCACAGGTCTTTTTTTATATAACCGAAGGATAAGCAAGACTTCCAAACTTGAATAAACTTTGATTGGAGATTCCATCTCACTGTACCAATTGTCTTGAAGGTTCTTGAGTTTCTAAGCTAGGGCTCACTTGTGATAAAGAGAGTAAAATATTTTTTCTTGCTTAAAATTATCATAAAAGAAAAATTTTTAACAAAACAGACATGATCAGGAAAAAGTTTTAATATAAAGTAATAATATTTATCTATTTAAAATAATAATAATAATAATAATTAATTGTTATAAAATTTAATAAAATTATTTATTTAAGCAAAATTAAAAAATTATATTATTTAATAAATTGTAATTAATATTTAATAAATTTATTAAAATATAATATTTGATTTAATTATTTGCTAAATTTTTTTTTTTTGTTTTTATATTTTTGTTTTTATATTAATTTTGTCATGTTTTTGTAACTTTTAAAAATTTATAGTATCAAATGTTTTTTATTTTTAAATATTCTTTTTTGTTCTTTTAAAATTTTTATCTTTATTATTTTACAAATTTTATATTATATATATTTTTTATTATTAAGTTTTATTTAAAAAAAACCTGGGTGAAATTATCAGATCAAGTTAGATTATCGATAAGCACTAATTTATGCATGACGTTAATCGTTCTTCGAAATTGGTACCTGGATCATTCACCACCTAATTTCTTTTACAATGACAACTAAATCAAATTTTCTAAACAGTAGAGAACATTATGTACTCAGTGAAACAGATACCTCAGAAGATGGTCTTCTCGTTAGTAATTTATGCGATTAAATGTAATGCATTTCTTTTCTGGTTTGAGCTCTAAAGCTTTCTTAAATAAATAAATGAATTAGAATACTTCGGATAACTTTTACTGGCATTCTCACTCTTCAACATCTCACGAGTATGATTCCGACTCAAACTCCAAAAATAGTGACTGGCCCGAGTATGGTTCTGATTCGACTAGCGAAATTGAATCCAAGTATAGTAACGACTCATACAACGTAAAGAAATCAAAGCTTAAAGAGAAACGTCATGATTTGAATTCTGGTTCAGGAAATGATTCTGATACTTCACGTGGGTCCAGTACCATAACAGACGATTCATTCAGTACAATAATCGGCGATACAAGTCAAGAAGAGGACGGAAGAATAAACGAAGATGATCAATATGATAGTTTTGATGAATACTCTCCATGGATGCCCGAAGTGTCTTCTGGTACAGATGATAGCACAGGTTCCGAATGCACACAGAAAAAAAGAAGAAAGCTCGGCAGCAATTCCATCTCCTGTTGTGTATGCGGTGGTCCCGACTTGTATTTTAACTATATCTGTATATGCGTTGGTTGTAATGAAGGATATCATCAAATGTGCCATGAACCAAAGATCAGTGACAGCACTGCAAGTTACAATATTGAAGAAAGATGGCATTGTATGGATTGCCAAATGGCAATTCAGAATGGATCATCAGCAAAGAGTGCGAATCGCGCTGGAAGAAGGGAGGCCGAGGTGCTTCAAATAGCCAATAAAAGATATGGAAATTTTGGACCAACTTGTCATGAACAAGCAAAAGAAACAATAATTTTCGAAGAGCATAGCATGTCAATCAAAACGATTGGGAAAAACAATCAAAACATTATTAACATTAGAAATGATGATAATTCTATTCAAAATCAAAAAATAGGGTTATATCAACAAAGGTCAGATAGTAAATGTTTATCAAATGGATTTGCTGGTAATAATCTAAGGGGTGACCGTCAGGATTGTGATAAAGAATCAGATAATGATGTTTTATTGCACTCTCGAATTAATTCAGATCCAAATAATAAATCGAGAATAATCACCAAAAAAAGGTTAAGAAACACATTGACATTTGTTCCTCTGGCATCAGAAAAGCGACATTCAACTGCAACTGAACTTCATAAATTATTTTACGAGAATTACCCAATATCAAAGGTTAATTTTGATGACATTTTTAAACCCGAAGATTGGGGTAGAAGTGAGAATACGGACGCACCATCCGTTAGGAATATCGGAACCCATGTTGCAGATACCGAATTATTGGGCAAGTCTTTCAGCCCCGCTAAAAAGAATGGAGTTATTCCTAAAAAGATTATTGTAGTCAACAAAAACACTTTAAAGAATTCGATTGGTTTAAACAAAAATGGTTCATCATTGAACAAGAATTCACCAATGGCTAACGGAAAAAAAATCATCACCCATGAGTTAAACGTTAACGTTGCTACAAACAAGAATGTCACACCAACTAAAAAACCATCGACTCCACCGAGAAGCACTATTTTTCTTCAAAATCCTGACAATCAAGAACATTCTTCCTCTGATGAAAGTGTATCGTTGACTCAGACAGTCGCCAGTCCGAAAAGAAATGTATCTTTACGTGATGTCGTTGAATGTACCCCTAAAATCGTCACGCCGCCTAACAAAAGTTTTGGACCGATGAATCATGATGATGAAGACTTTAACATTATTTCGTTGTTACCTAGAAATCTTATTCCTTGTATTAATTTTGGAACATTGGCGTTTCGAGAGGGAACTATAGATCCTAAGAGAGGTCAGGTAAAGCGTGGTCGGGTGTTTTCAGTGGTAAAGTGATTTTAATTGTTCATTCGGTGATCCAAAAAACAAATGTATATATCTTCAGACACATTCTTAAAATTGAGTAATATTTTCCTATACATTATACGAACTTTTAATCAGCTTAAAGCGCATCATGCGAATACACCATACGCTTTATTTTGGCTATTCAAACGTGGACACTAACTTAATGAGGTTTTATAAAATTTTTGTTTATCAAGTGTTCTAATTAGAAAGAAAAAAAGTTAAGTTTGAAGTTGAGGAATAGGATTTGTTCATAAAATGAAGAACAAGATAGAGGAACCATAATTCTAGCGAAATGCGTCCAAAGATAAAATTCAATTCAACCCATATTGAATTTTAACTTGATGCAATAAACGAATATAATCTTCCAAATAATCTTCATTCTTCACCAATTCTACTTGTTCCGATAACCAATTTTCGAAATTACTTTGGGCAGGACATTGTGAAGGATAATGATTCTTGATCATTGAGATACCTCTGAGTATCTTTTCCCTCGTATCAAAATCTATTTCCGTTGACTTTGCGGGGTTATCGGATAAAGTAGTTTGAAACAGTTTACACCAAAAACTCATTACATTCAAAAACAAGGACGATAAAGTATCACTACTGAATTGTTGTTGTTCTTGTCCTTGTTCATATATTTCAATGGGTTGTTCTGCTTTGACCATATTTGGATCTATAAAATCAGTGATAAACAACGCGCATTTCGCACGTAATTCATTGTTCTCTAAATTTTGGTATAGAGTTGCCAATCGAGATAATCCTTGATAATTGTTAACCTCTTGAATTGCCTGCCTGCTCCCACGAACGACACTTGACAAAGCATATAAAAGACGAGATTGAACTTTTGTATCCTGTTCTTCGGAAAGATATTTTAAAAATTGTGGGATAAGATTCATTTTAAGAGCCTCATTTTGAGCCATTGGATTATTCTGAATATATGAGAATCAGCCATGATTAGTAAACATAATAGAATTAAATACAAAAATAATAGTAGGTTCATATGAGATTACCTGCATCGCAGTGCCTATGACCAAAGCTGCCTTCTTCCTTATTTCACTTGAATCGTGATCTAAAAGAGCAACTACTGATACCAGTCCATAACCTCTAGCTAACTTTATTCCAAAGTCAAGCTCATGAACCAAATCTTCTAGGCCATCCAGTGCAGATATTACTTCTTTTAAAGGTAGTGATGATTGCGTTAGTTGAGAAATACAATTGTCGAAAAGTACATGGTCCGAATGCGAAATATGTTTCGATGGTATATTTGGCAATGTATTATTAATAACATTTACAGAATCTTTGTAATGAAAAATAACTTTAGAATTATTCTCGTTTGATTCGTCAGTTTCTGATTTAATGGGATGCTCAGTACTGTCTTGACGAACAGATCCATCCTCATCAATCAGAACTACTTCCGAAGATCTTGGGTCATTGTGATCTAAAATTTTCGCATACTTCTTTCCGGTTTCGAAATCGATTTTAATGTGAAGCCCTGATGATTATTCGTGAAAACAATTCTAGGATGAGTTTTTCCTTATTTAAAAATTCTGTGAATATCAAAAAATACCTATGGGTATTTCTTGTCCTTCTAATACTTCTTTAAACTCGTTGGTGGCGACAAATACTTTTGGATAGCAGTAACCAGTTTTATCACAAATCTCTGTTGTTGAACTCGCTGAATGTTCTTGAGCAATAACGAAACAAAACAGAATGCATATTAAAAAATTAAAGTTGATCTTAATAGAGTAGCGGCGGAACATAGTTTTTTTTGACCACCGAGAATTTGACAACACTACAATTTTTATATGTATCACTTGTGTTACACTTTTTGAATAATTTATTTATTTTCAATCATAATTAGATTGGTGTATGTCAAAAAAAACAATAAAATATATTCTAGGCATATAATGTATGTCGATAACGAAAATCTTTATGTAATAAAATCTAAAATTATTTTAGGCAATCTAAGTAACAAATAAAAGATATAAATTAAATAATTAGCTTAATTGCAGGTGGTAATGGATCTAGTATGTTTTTGCGTAAAGTTTTATTTGTCAAAAAAAGTACTATTTCTAATATTTTATTTTTAATTTCCTTAATAAATTTTTTCAAATAAAATTATTAAACTAAATACAAGTTAAATGATATCTTGACACATTAGCTTAGGCCTTTGTTTTTGGATAAGTTAATGATAATAAGTTAATATATTTGAATAATATAAACCAGATTTGAATATAGTAAACCTTATATAATATATATATATAATATATATACAATATTAAATTCTAATAAAACAAGATTTAGCTTATGTTTAAAATAAATAAAATAATAATATATATACTGCATATTAAATTTAAAACAAATATTATTATATATTATATATTTAATGAATTTTTTTATAAGCAAATATTATTTTTTTATTTGATTTGTATAATATAAAATATATATTATATTAAAAAACAATATCTTTTATACATATCACCCTCCTAAACCATCCAATGATCACAACTTTCAAACCGAAGAAATTATAATTGACCTACCTAACATAGTTACTAATATATTTACCCAATGCAAATATAATTATTTCAAATATATTCAAAAATTAATATCACTATTACTCAACACTTCTTCTCCTAATACTGAGTAGGTATTTATAGCTGCTTGATACTATTTGACAAGATATATTGTTTTAAATTTTCTTTTCAATATTAGTCAAATGGTTATTGTAGACAAGCTAGCATTTAACTCATTGTACTTGCATATGAGAAATGTTGTTTTTTTCATGATATATACCTTGACATATATAAATTAAATAAAGAAATAAAGTTTACCTACTAAAAAAAAACAATATCTTTTATATATAAATATAATAAATTAAATACTGGTTTGCTTATAAAAACTATATACTAATATCAAAAAAAGATTTTAAAACAATATATATTATTATATTGTATAACATTAAGCAATTATAAATATTTATACAAAATTAAAAACTAAATAATTTGAATAATTAAAAATTAATTTAAAAATATAATTAATGAATTTATAATTATATTAAATAAAGTTTCTAATTCTAGTTAATTCTTTTGCCAAATCAAAAACATCTGTTTTTTGAAAAATTTTTTATTTTTCAATAATAAAATCTAAATATTTTCTTTAACAATACATATTTCTAAAGGTAGAAGTTTCTCTTACTTGTTTATATTTTTTTCTTTAAAACTTTTTGAATATTTTAATAACAAAATATTCAAAAACTTATTCATTTAATTTATAGTCAAAACATCTATTGAAAAGAAAAAATCTATTTTTTTATTCTTTTTAAGATTTGGAATTCTAGAAAAACCTATTAATAAATGTATTTTTCAAGCTTTATAAGAATTTTAAATCTATTATAAGTAAATACTATTACTTAGAGACATAAATATATAATTTTTTTATCAATTAAATATTTGTAGTACTTTTTTAAATATATTAACAAATTTTTAAGAATTTTCAAAAAATTTTATTTACTTTAATTTAATCTTAAATTTTTGTTATATTGGAATCTTCAGTTAATAATTAGTTTAAATTATAAATTAACTAATTAATATATTGTATAATAAAAAAATAAAAAGACATTTTTTATATAATTTTGTTATATAATATAATAATAATAATATAATTGAAGAAAGTAAAGAGCAAGATATTAATAAAAACTTTTTCTGCTGATCTTTTTGTCAACCCAAAAAACAGATGTTCTCAAAAGATTTTTTGTCTTTATGATAATAAAGTCTATACACTTTCCTTAA